TCGCATTTCAAGAGGGTGAGCTGACTGGCACGCTTACCGCGCTCCGGGCTTCCAGGGCCCTCGCCGTGCACCTGCTCAGGGGTTCCGTGGTTGGCTGTCGGGCGCCCCCAGGCGGCCACCTCTCGGAACAGCTCCGTCACGTTGTGCTGGGTGATCTCACTCGCGGTCTGGGGAGAGAAGGGGCGCGGCCAGGGTGACCCGGCAGGGCCTAGAGTACAGCACCCCTCCCCCAACGCCCAGCGCGGGCATGCGGTGACGGATGGGATGCGGGTTAGTTTGGATTTCCAGACTGGGCTGAGAAAGTATGGGGGGGGGGGGGCTCGAAAACCCTCTCCCAGAACCCAGCACCTCCAGGCGCCCACCTTGACTGGCTGTCCGTTGCTGGTCCGCAGGAGGCTCTCATCGTCCGCTTCGATGCCAAAGGCCACGAATGGTCCCGTGGCAATGTCCCCCCAGTACCCGCGCGCTGCGACACGCTCCCCGTGCTTGAGAAAGCAAGGAGCGAAGAGGCAGGGAGGGTCAACGTCCAAGACCCCGGTTCCTATGTCCCCGAAAAGAAGGATCGGCCAGGGCAGGGAGGTCGACACTCACATGGCTCAGGAGGCGGCCAGACGCAAGGGTCCGGTTGGGCACGTGGTAGGCACTGGAGTCTCTGAGTTCAAAGGCGACGCCTGTGTCCCTCCAACGCCGGAACTCACGAGTGTGGATGACTCGGGCCTGGGTAGGGAGAGGAATGAACAGAAGCCTAAATAAATCTGGCATATGGCTCCCCAGCGTCCTCCCTCGGACCCAGGAGTCCAGGCCCCCAGACCCTCCTCCCTCAGAGACCAGACTGCCAGTCCCTCCTCCCTCGGACCCAGGAGTCCGGCCCCTCAGCCCCTCCTCCCTCAGACCCAGGAATCAGGCCCCCAGCCCTTCCTCCCCCGGACCCGGGAATCAGCCCCTCCTCCCTCAGACCCAGAAGTCCAGGCCCCCAGCCCTCCTCCCAGGCCCCTCACCCCGCGGTCGTGCAGCTTCATGTGCAAATCCCAGTCGCTGACACCGCGCCGGGCGTCGTAACGGGAGCCCAGGTAGTGACGCAGCCTGGAGTCCCAGAGGCGGCTCATGGGGAAGACCTCAGGACCCTTCTCCCCGCCGGCCCAGAAGCGGAACACAGCCTCCAGCGCGTCGCGCTCGCGGAACTGCACGGCCAGCACGCGTGGGGAGAGAGCGATGGAGAGGCGGCTGCAGCGAGAGCGCTTCCTCCCGCTTTACCCTCCCTGCCATCCCGGGGCGTGGGAATGAGTCTCCCATTTCTCAGACGAAGAAACCGAAGTTCTGAGAATAACCCCCTAGCGCACATCCCACAGTGGGCGCCGGGGAGCTGGGGTTCGACCTCCATTTACGAAAGCCCTTTTGGATCGCCCAAGTGCATTGTTCCCGTGGCCGTCCGGATCCTGGGGGGTGACGCCACCTTGAGGGCGCTCAGGCTGAGCCAGGGCAGCTGCTCCGCCAGGCGGTGGGGCTCCGGGACCAGGCGCGCCAGGCGGTCGGCCTGCGCGCGCACGAAGGCGGCCACCTGGGGGCGCAGCAACGCGTTCCCCCACACCTCCAGGAAGGTCTCGCTCCTCTCTGGGGAAAGGTGGGGCTGGATTAGCGGGGAC